TGCCTAGGGGCTCCCTCTCCCCGTGGCTTTGTCTGCGCCGCGAGTCTGTGTGCGTCTCTGCCTCACGGAGGGAGTTCGGGTCAATCGGCCCCAACGGACGTCTACTCATCATGCAATTGCCATGCCATGCAGGCCGCTGTGGCTGTGTCCGCTCTGCGCTGTTGGTGTGTCGCTGTGCCCGCTGAGCGCGTGTTGTCTGCTGTGCGTGTGTGTTCAGTCTGCTCGCTGAGCGCGTGTTGTCTGCTGTTGCTGTTTGCTGCTCTGCTGTGTAAAAAAAAAAAGTGCGCCCTGTAGTCACAAATCAAGTCCTGTACTCTAAAACCTAGTTTAAGCGAACACAACACACGCACGCACTTTTTTTCCTGCATCGGCCCCTATATTGCGCTGAGCCCTCTCAGGCAAGATTAGAAATCTCGCTTCGCTCGAATAATACATTTTCGAAAAGCTCTCGACCAGACGTTTTTAACGCCGCCGTTTTCGGCGCTGTGACTGTTTTTGCAGTTGAGAAATCGAGCTTCGAAAATCGGTCAAGGGGGTGTGTTATCTTGTGTTATATACGGTAAGCAGGCGGGCACGGCGCTCAACAGCGGACTAGCCGGGTACTTCGCGCAAAGGGCCCTGATTTCGTCCATGCCCACCTTGATAGCCGCCCTGTCGACGCTACCAGCCTCGCCATGAAGTCGCACGCTGTGGATGTTGTTGCGCTTCACGAAGTTCTTTGCCCATTTCTCGCCGGCCTTGAAGTCCTCGACCCTCGCCCTACTGCCGCAGAAGTTGCGGTGTCAGCCAGCAGGGTTGTCCTGGTGGAACGGCCGAAGCTTCGAAGGACATCGCGTGTGACGGGCATCTTGGCGTTCCGGGATTTGGCGAGCAGATAGAGAGCTATCGCACCCACCTGCCACCAAAAAACGAGTAAGCAAACAGAAGGCCTTACCATTAGTTTCGAACATTGGCATGCATCCTACACTGCGCGGCGCGGTCAGGCGGGACAACACAGCAGTCGTACCGTAAAGATAGGCCCTGACCTGTTATGCTTATTTCTTGACATTTTTATGCACGTTTTTCGGCACGTGCGTAAGCTCAAAAGGCGACCTATGCACGCTGGTTATGCTCAAAATGGCGACTTCTGCACGCTGGGTATGCTCATTTTCCTCGCGTATGCTCGTACTTCTGCACGCTTTTCGTCGTCCCTCGTGCTCGGGCAATGCTTGTTTTGGTCGTTAATGCTTGACATAAATATGCGCGCGCGGTTGGCTTCGTCGACACGCTTTGTTTATTATTATGCCGTCTGCCACCTTCGAATTGTATGAATAATTGTGTTGCTGTATCACACAGACAGCGCAAATAATCTTGGACTAGTCTTTCAGGAAATGTTTTTTCGACGCATCCGACTACTACTACTCTGCACTCGTTCGTTCTATTAAGGGTGAAGAGGAGACTACTTTCCCGCATTCCCTTCACCCTTGGTCATCCGTGATCGCCATTCGGCAAACAGAGTAGATATATTTATTTCTGGAATCAATCGCGGTAAAATACTTCAAGCAATATAAATGCGCCTCCAACAGCCCCTCCCTGCTATAGCAATGTCAAACCCATCAGAACACCAATCAAACCAATTGCTGTCAGTGCCTCTAGAATCATGGACATATTGCATCCCCCCCCCATATTTGTCGATGCAACGAACAATAGCAATTAATTTCAATCAAAACAATCAACAGCCATAGCAGTGCGGGCTACTAGGCTATTGCTGTAAAATGGAACACCGCTGGCATACCACGTAATAATGGCCACTGAACCAAACAGCAGGGTTGCCCTGTTTTCTTCTGCAACAAACCGCACAAACGTAAGAAAATAATTCAAGCCAAACGAAAAAGCCATGCCACACACACACTCAATTCCATCCAACAGGAGCAAAAATNCGTAGAATTCACCTGAAAATGCAGTACCAAACGAAACAGAAAAATAACAACAAATAAGAAAACGCCTCGAATACGATATAATATCGGACTCATATCCAAGACACCACAAACACACACCACGGGCAAAACAGCGAACTCGCGTACTCCCGTACTACTACACTCCGCGCCCCTTATTGTACTTTTTCAAGGAGTGATGCCGTGGGCGGTGGCTTGCTCCTAGAGATAGATGAAGGTTCTGTCGTTGACACCCTTGTCCACGACCACGTTGAGATGGGAAAGTTGCTTGTTATTGCTGAGAGACGATCAGCAAAGGTCTGGGATGAAGAGGGGATCCAACTTCATCTCAGGGGGCTACACAGAGTAGACAATTCTAAGGGGGTAGGGGACAGAAGGGAATACCTCCTGACCGACCCGCATCCTATCAAGAATAAGATGTACCCTATTCATGCTAGCAGCGACACTCCTTAACACTAGCCCACCCTGAATATCATATATGCAGATTCTATACTCAAATCAATGCTGAAATCCTAGTCTAAAGCATAATTAAGATTTTAGCTGATGATTTTTGATCATAAATCGAAGATATGACTCTTTACAAAACATCCAAAAGGAGGGTGAGTTAGAAATATCCCGAATCGATCCCCCACACCATCATTGAGATGAAGAATGCGAACGGTCACGAGACGGAACATCGACATCTCAATGACAACGCTTGAAGGGATAAAGCTACGAAGAATATGAAGTGCGGCACAGCACGCTATCATCCTGAACAGACGACGACAGGAAAAAAAAATCAATATCCAGACGCCACACACCACTCTTTTAAGCGCACCCGCGCGTATCACCGCTGCAGGAATGAGGGTAACTACCCGAGCGAGTCCAAAACACGGTGACGAAACTCAAAACCCAAACAAATTTCCGAACGAATACGGCCTTTGATACTGGACGCGACGCAAAGGGAAAACTCAACGCAATCTAGGACGTCAACGAAGGGCAGGAGAAAGGAACGACAGGCAAAGGCACGGAGAACGATGGCCAGCGTGCCAGGGTACCCAACCCGTATAGGGAGCGGCAGGGGCAAGACCTATTGAGGTCCAATGATGNTTGATACTGGACGCGACGCAAAGGGAAAACTCAACGCAATCTAGGACGTCAACGAAGGGCAGGAGAAAGGAACGACAGGCAAAGGCACGGAGAACGATGGCCAGCGTGCCAGGGTACCCAACCCGTATAGGGAGCGGCAGGGGCAAGACCTATTGAGGTCCAATGATGATGCAAAGCACAAGCGATTATTGCAAGAGAGGCTGTCGACGAACTGCGCCATGGTTCGCTGGCGATACGCATCATTCAAAGACATAAAACACAAAGTCGTAGAGATTTACACAACAAGACGACGACTCAGGGGCGCTACTGTGATGAAGGCGTCGCCCGAAGGTGGCGATGATGGAGACGAAGCAGAACGAAGTGTGGGTGACGACGAAAATCCATGGGAGAAGGCGACGCCACGGGATGGAATCCCGAAGCACCAAGCGTATGCGACACTTCTGCGGCACGATGGAACTAAAACAAAAAAAAATTAAGACAACATTAGTTGGCAAACAGGCGAACCAGGAAAACGCGAAGAACTCGGTGTACAAGTGTCCCGAAGCAAACATCACCGACGAAACTTGGGGAACTCTTTTTCCAAGTTTTCAGAGGCAGACAAAACCGACGAAACATCGGAGGGAGCTTGTTGAGAGAACCAAAGACCAACAGCAACAACAAAAAATTGAAGCAAAGGCGAGAGAGAACGGACATCCAGGTCGCGGCAGTTCACTGATTCAGATGAATGCAGGTAACAAAGAACAATGATCACTCGACACTGCGTGTCTTGAGGCGGCGTTGCCCTAGCGTTCAAAACAAAACAAGCCAAGGAAAGAAAAGAGACAACACAAAAAAACAAAACGAAATGAAACAAAACGGAAGGTGACAGAAAAGAAAACAAAAAACAAAAGCAAAACGTCAGTGAGAAGGATGGCACAAAAGACCAAAATAGGCCGATTGGTATATCAAAACGACGACGCTAAGAAGAAACGGCGGGAACAGCCAACGGTAAGGAGTCAGCAAGGAGCGGAGTGCGACCACGGTTGTCGCCCAGAGGGCGCGATTGATGTTTCTTCAAACACCATGATCCACAGACGGCGTCCAAGGCGGTGGAGTAGAGATGCGCAGGCAGAGGCAGAACGCTTGGGCCTGGGTCATCCAAAAATCGAACGATTTACGAGCCGCCCTAATGAGTACCAATGCGTCCGGTCCACCACAATCCATCACGGGCCTTGTACCACAGTCGCGTGCCATCAGGGAGGGGCGGGCGAAGTGCTGAAACGGCGAAGCCAAGTCGCATTAAGCACAAGATCAGCCCCAGGAGGCAAATAGCGTTCTCCACGCTCCCGCTGTGCCGCGCGAGTCCGAGCCACTCGATATGTACGGTTACCCTGCTTGCTTTGGCAGGCCTCTCGGGACCAGTACAAGAGGATGTGTCGACGAAATAGATCAAGGTCGGATTCCCGTTCCCATGAAAGAATAGTCAGGCCTACCCAATGCGTCTGATACAGGACAGCGAGAACGCCGCTACGGCCCCGCACCAGTTGATGTCCCGAGATTTAGTCGACCCCGAGGCGCCCGACAAGCATCGACACATCATCCGCGGTGACGTGGAAAGGTGGACATTTATCTCCGAAGGAGTGCAGAACATGACGCAAAAGCTCGGCGGGCAGAGATTGCGGCAAGTCGTCCGTCTCGTACGGATTGCGACAGGGCTTGCAACGAAGGACAGACACGCGACAACGAGCTGCCGGGCCGGAAAGATCGGAAGGCAGGTCCAGGTAGAGGAGTTTATGCGCCAACGGGCGGCCGTCCGGAGTGGCGTCGGCAGAGGTCACCCGCTGCAAGAACTTTGTAGGGCCCCGTCCAGGAAAGTGCGAATGTGGCCTTGAGCACCTGTTGGTCCGTGTCCTTCTGCACACCCTGTCGAATTGTAGCAGCCGTGTTGTGTACCCAAGCCCACCCGCCAACGGTAAACTGAGGGAGCTTGTGGATGGCGTCCAGCAGGGATGAATTTCGGCGTTCGACTCGCGAAATCTTCAGCGCGTTGTACTCGCGGACAAGTTCGTAGGCCCGGCGCTGGCGATCGACAGCCAGGTTGCAATACTCGAGTTGATCGCGGGCCAAGCTTTGATGACCACCTACCGTGGGACGATCGAAGACCGAAAGCGGGAGTCGCGGGATGCGTCCGATGTGGATCTCGTTTGGCGCTAATCCAGTAGACTGGTTCACGGAATTGTTGTAGGCAAATTCAACGTGCGGGAGATGTATGTCCCAATCGTTTTGCTGTTCGTTGACGACCACCGCAAGCATCTGGGCCATCGTGTGGTTGACGCGTTCAGTGCCGCCGTTGGTCTGTGGGTGGTAGGAGCTGGTGGTGACCTTTTTGATCTTCATCACCTCGTAGATCGCCATGGAGAGCTTCGAGCAGAAATGCAGTCCGTTGTCCGACAATAACGTAGTCGGACATCCCCACTTGGTCATGTATTGGTTGACGAAGATGTGAGCCGTCCCTCTCGCCGTAAATTCCGCCGCTGTAACTGCCAACATCTCGGCTCTCCGACTGAAACGGTCTGTGAACAACAAAGTGTAGGAGTTGCC